GAAGAATGTGAAGATGGATCAGAATCAGATAGTGGTCACATACAACAAACACAAGTTTTCCAGACACAAAAAAAAGGCGAAGTGTAACATGTTACAGTCTAGGATAACACACACATCCGCAAAGACCAACAACGAAGTAGATTGAATGCACAATCAAGCGTTAGATGTAGTGGTAGTGGGAGTGGATCACGCGGAAGTCATATGACTGGAAGTGGATCACGAGGAGGGCGGCGAAGGCAATCCTTTGAATCAACCATACAAGACACTATTGCTGGATATACAGAGTTTCAACACTTCGTCCAGGTGCTTTTGATCAAGATAATTATGACGAATGGAAAAAGGCAGAAGAAAAATTTCTTGCTCTCAACATTCTGAAGGAAAGATTTAGTGGACTGGCCTTGATGCACTTAAAGAGTTAGTATTTTGGCGTAAGCATTTCCTTGATATAGCTGAAAGTCATGATGAAGATAAAGTTCAATTATTAAAATCAATGACTGGTGTTTCACGGAACAATGAAGATGTGCCTAAATAATTAGGTCAATGTCAATCATTTGGCAGTTCATCCTCTGGCTTTCAACAGTGGGGTACACTGCCAAATGCACAACAATGGGGTACACCACCAAATGTTCAACAGTGGGGAATACCAACAAATGTTAAACAATAGGGAACACCACAAAATACTCAATAATGGGGTACACCACCAAATGTTGAACAATGTGGTAAACCCCAAATACTCAACGATGGACTACACCACCAAATCGTCAAAAAATGGGGTACACAATTAAATGCTCAGGAAAAGAATACACCACCAAATGCTTCATAGTGGGGCACGTCACCAAATGCTTCACAATGGGACACACCACCAAATACTTCACAATGGAGGCTTTCACCAAATACTTCAGGTGGAGGATTTCATCAAATTTTCAACAAGGCGGACCATCGAGGAAGAATCCAACAAACATTGAATATGGATTCTCAGTTGGAAGCGAAGAAGAAAGTATGAGAAATAGGCAACAAGAAAATAATGCAGCAGTTGGAACTCTACATACAACAAGACCAGGAGGTTTATTCAACATATGGGAAACATCTATAAAGATAAATGAAAGTCACCAAAATCACTTTTAGAAGACGAATATTAATTTTCTGATAGTTGTGTTTCTGTATTTTAGCTTTTGTTGTAAAATATTGATATATATTTTTAATCTTTTCATCATTTTATTTGGTTAATATAGTTTATATTTACAGATGATTTTTTTTTCATGTTTAAAATTTCAGGTTTTTCGTATATGTCAGTTACAAGCACGAGGCATACATAATTTAAGTTACGAAGAGATAATTGAAATGTGGAATTTGGAAAATGAGTAGTTAGCAGAATTAATAATCAATCCATTATTGACTTATTATCAACGCTATTTTAAAAGAGGACCAGTGCAAACCGGTAGAGGTTTAGGATGGAAAAATATTTGGTGACGAATACAAGAAGATGATGCTGCTTGTCTTCAGTTAGTATGAATGACATTGCCGTGTTTCTGCTCATTGTGTAATATACTACAAACAAATTATGGTCTACAACCATCACTAATGTAAGCATTGAAGAAAGTGTGGCTATGTTTCTACAAATATGTGGACATAATGAAGTTCAAAGAGATGTTGGTTTAACATTTGGCCGAAATCAAGAAACGGTGCAGAGAAAATTTATGGAAGTTCTTACGGCGACAAAACTGTTGGCATATGATTATATTAGAACTCCAACAAGACAAAAGCTAATGCGAATTCCTGAAAGACTTTACTCAGATCGAAGTTATTATCCTTTTTTCCGTGGATTTGTTGAAGCTATGGATGAGACTCATGTATGCATAAAAGTGGAACCTGAGTTACAAGGAATGTATTGGAATCGACATGATAATGCATCTTTGAACTTCATGGCAATATGTGATTTGAATATGTTAGTCACATATATAGGGAATTGAGCACCATGATCTTGTCATGATACTGCTGTTCTCGCAATAGCACAACAAAACGATTATGAGTTCCCTTTGCCTCCACGAGATAAATATTAATTCAGGCTATCCAAACAAGCAAGGATTTTTAGCTCCATATAGATCATCACGAAATTGAGTTGTGAGATATCATATGTTTCAATTCAATTTTGGTTTTGCTCCTAGAAATAAGTAAGAACTATTCAATCGATATCATGAGTCTTTGCGTTCTGTTATTAAGAGAACATTTTGAGTTTGGAAAAAAATAAAATGGAGAATTCTATCTGATTTTTCAAGATACAAAATATACGTGTAAAAAAGAGTGGTAATGGCTACAATGGGATTGCATAATTTTATCAAATTATCAAACTACGCCGATGAAGATTTTGCAAATACAATGCCATATACAGAATTGAGCAATAAAGATTTAGAATATGACATTGTTGAAACAGATTAACTTGATGGAACACACGGAGAACAAATGACAAAAAATAAGAGATAATATTGCAAACATGTTGTAGGAAAATCAAAATAATCGATAACGTTTTATTGTATATTCTTAATTTTTTATTTTATATATGTAATTTAAATGTTTTAATTCATATGAATTTTGGTATTTAATATTTCTAAATAATAAAAAAAAACACCAACAAGATCATTAAATAGAAAATTTCAACTTCAAATTATATTGATTGTATTTATATATAAGTTTAAATTTAAAAAAAAAATATTCTTCAATTTCGCAAACTATATATTTTCACCAATCAACACAATTCCGCACCACTAATTTTATGAAACCTGCACTTGTCCCGCAAAATGCATGAACCGCAGTTAAACCGTCTTGCACTTTAATTATGCACCGCTTATATTACTAAATCCGCTGTCACCATTCGGACCCTAAAATATGACAAACTTAACTCATCTAAACTGTTATTTGAATAGTAAATTTGCTTAATTAATTTTTCATGACTTTATATAATTTTGATTATTTTATATTTTAATAATGTTATATATAATTTGTTATATAATAAAAACAAATTTATATCAATATTACTATATTTTAAGAAAATAATTTATTTTTTATTAGATTTTTATCTTTAAAATATATTTTATATTATAAAATTTCATAAAATTTGTTGATTAATTTGTAACTTTTTCATGATTTAGATAATTCAAATATAATTGTTAACATAATAAGATATATTTATATGAATAATATTATATTTTCTAAAATAAGATAACTCTTATGTATTAAATTATTATTTTGAAAATATATTTCTATAATAGAATTTCAAAATTAAGGTAGAAAATTTCTAATTAAATTAAAATAAATGATTTATTAACTTCTCCATGATTTTAGGTAATTTTGCTTATTTTAATTTTTTTAATAATTTTATAAATAATTTATTATTTTATGAAATTATTTTATATTAATAATATTATATGTTTAGAAAATAAGATAATTCTTATGGATTATATTGTTATTTTGAAAATATATTTTTCATAAAAATAAAAAATTAATATAAAAAACTATAATTAAATATAAATCAAACAAATAATTTGTATAAATATATTTTGACAAAATTGATTAAAGTACAACTTTTTAGTATAATTTTTCCGTGTTATCTTAATCACATTTACATTTGATTATAGGGCTGGGACTTTTATTCGGGATCCGGAAGATCCAAGATTCAATCCGGATCCGCTCTAAAATTAGTATATCCGGAGGTGCTCGGATCCGAATCCGGATAGTAAAATCTCGGATCTGTGCAAACCGAATCTGAATCCGGATATCCTAATTTTTAGGTTCGGATATCCGGATTCGGATTTGTATTTTTAAAAATATATTAAATTTTTTATTTTATTATTAATTATATCTGATATATTAATATTTATATATAAAACAAGTTTACAATATTCTATTTTAATATTAATAATATTATATTTCATATACATATTCATAAATTATTCATAAATATTTAATTTATGTTTTATTTTTTAAAAAATGATTTTTTAAAAAATGATTTTTTTAAAAAAATTAAATTATTTTTACGGATACGAATCTAAATCCGGATACCCACGGATATCACAATATCTAGACGGATATCCGAAGCTCGGATATTCGATGAAAAACACAAATCTGGATCTGGATATTAAAATCGCAGATCCGATGAATCTGAATCCGGATAATTCAAATTTCCCGGATATTTGGATACGTCCAAGCCTCTAGTAAGTATGTAAGTAGAAATTTATAACTGTATGATTAACTAATTTAGATTTAGAGTTTAGATTTGCAGAGTGAAATTTTGGAGGATAAGGTTTACAATTCTAATAAAAATATAAATCAATACATAAAAATAAAATAAAAAAATCTGAAATAGTTTCAAAAAAAAATTTTGAAAAGAAAAATATTTCAAAAATATTCAAAAAATTGCAAAATTTTTGAATTTAAAAGTTATAATTTGAAAACTTTTTATAAAATTATTTTTAGCTTTTATTTATTTAAATTATTATTTATATTTATAAATCAAATCTATAAATATTTTGTATATGCTTAATGAAATCTCACACTTGGATATTTTTAAAAATATCCATTTAGAGAAAATAAACATAAATAGAAGAGAAAATTGAAATTTTCCCATATATTTTTTTCAAATATTTTTATATGTGAATTTTGTTATTTATATTTAAACATCAATCATAAGTTATTATATTTTTTTAAATCAATAAAATATAAACTAATAAGTATTTGTAAAAATATTATATCTGCATATGTGAGCATAAGATCTAGTTTTTATATTATTCTAAAATAAATTTATTACGAATATTGCAATTAGGATGCTCTAGAGCATTCATAAACTGCAAGTTTGCTGATTAAATAAATATTTCATAAACAAATAATAAGAAAAGAAAGTCTTTGCTCTCTTTTGAAAAATAAAAACTGACCAAGAGAAAGTCAAGAAAACGCGCGTCTTCCGCGCGTCAGGAAACTTGTCATCTGTTATCAAATAGTATCTCTCTTCCGGTCCAGAACAAAACATAACTCGCCGCTTCAAAGTCATGAAAAATATCCAAGTTGTCTCGACATGGACCGATTTAACTCGTGACTCAGCTCTTTACTTGCTCTACACGTTTGCCGCCATCAAAGTCTCCAAATTCATCTACCGTTGCTTCCAATCATCTGAAATGTCATCATTTTCTATGGAAACTCACCCAGAAGCTCTCAGACGAGAACGGATTCTCTCCAGCAAACTCTACTTCAACGTCCCTGAATCAAAGGCATTCTACATATCTTGTGTGTGTGCCTAATACAGTTCAAGATTCTGACTATCGAGTTTGTTTGTTTGTTTGATCAACAGGTTTCGATCATCTATTCATCAGCATACGACATCTCCTTCTTGGGGATTGAGAAGTTGTGAGTATATACTCAAATCTTTGACCAATTCTAATAAACTTGTTGAATGTTTGAGGTCTCTTGAATGATTCTTGTAAATTAGAAACATTCTTGATATGTGCAAGGCATCCATTTGATTCAACCAAGTGGCGTAGAGTTTGCAAGTTCCTTGTTTCTGATGGGTTCTTGGAGGAGAAATCAATCGTCGAGCCTCTAGAAGCTTCCAACAGTGATCTTCTAGTGGTATTTGACTTCCCTCTTTAGATGTGTGAACTACTGACTATACCTAGTGTTGATCAAATCTTATTTGCTTGGAATGGTTTTAATGGTTGTGTAATCTTTTGCTTATGATTATTGGGTATCATCAGGTACATTCGTTAGACTACTTAAACAGTTTGAAAAGCAGTGCAACTGTTGCTAGGATAACCGAGGTGATGTCTAATTTTGTTTGGGTTCATTTAATAATCTATATGATTTTTTGTTGAACTAAACTTTTCTGTGTATGATAATGTTATTAGGTTCCACCAGTTGCATTGTTCCCAAACTTTCTTGTGCAGCAGAAAGTTCTTAGCCCATTCCGAAAGCAGGTAGAAGTATCCTTTGATTGTTTTCAAAGAACTCTGTATCTGTGGAGTGATTACAACAAAGTTGGTGTGTGATTGATAGGTTGGTGGGACGATTCTGGCAGCTAAACTAGCAGTAGAACGTGGATGGGCAATAAACGTAGGAGGAGGTTTTCATCATTGTACTGCTGAAAGAGGAGGAGGGTTCTGTGCTTTCGCTGATATTTCTCTTTGTATTCACTTTGCATTTCTTCGTCTTAGCATTTCCAGGTAACTATATCTTCTCTAATGGTTTCCTTTGCTAACAAATATAATAACTGTTTTAGGTCTTGTACTTTTTAAACTCGAACAGGGTCATGATAATAGATCTTGATGCTCATCAAGGGAATGGCCATGAAACAGATCTTGGCGATGATAGTATGAGAAAACTTAATTTGTATCTATGATTCTTTGCTCTACCTATGTTTGGTATGTTGATAACAGTTAATTTTGTCTGCAGGTCGTGTTTACATTCTAGATATGTACAATCCTGAGATATACCCTTACGTAAGCTAACATTCTTGGAGCTTTGCCATTTGGAACTTTTAGTGCAGTTCTGGTCTTATGGCTTTTGTGTTTGCATTTAACACTGTTTTTTTTTTCTTACAGGATTATACGGCTAGAAGATTTATCGATCAGAAGGTTGAGGTGAAGGTAAGCAAATCATATCTTCTCTCTCTTGTATCAGCTCGAACTAATTTGAATGTTTTGTCACTTTGTGTCACCTTTTGTTGACAGAGCGGGACCACCACTGATGAGTACCTGAGGAAACTAGACAAAGCGCTTGAGGTATGCATTCTCTTGTTTCTTGGCGACGATAGACTAGGATCATGGTAACTGGAAACTTGGTTCCTAGAAGAGACATGATTAGTAGTAGTAAACTATGTTGTCTTTAGGGATTTTAAGAGAAGAGCTAATATTGGTTGATATAACTCCTCAGGTTGCTTTTAGAAACTTCCAACCAGAGTTGGTAGTTTACAATGCTGGGACTGATATCTTAGACGGAGACCCTCTTGGGCTTCTAAAGGTAAGCTTATATATACTGCAGATTATGTGGCCTTTCTATATGATCAGAATGTCTCTAACTTGGTCTCTGTTGCAGATAAGCCCTGATGGCATAACAAGTAGAGACGAGAAAGTCTTCAGATTTTCAAGGGAAAGAGAGATTCCTGTTGTGATGCTAACTTCAGGTGATAAACTAACACCAAACATAACCAAACAGCCTATGAGTAAAATTGGTAATGTGTTTTGTAATGGATATCATTCTATGTGCAGGCGGGTACATGAAGTCCAACGCCAGAGTTATTGCGGATTCCATAGAGAATCTCTCACGTCAAGGGTTAATCAAGACACGACTGGACTCAGCTACCACGTGAACTGTTCCCAAAAGCTTTTTATGCGTGCGTGTGAATATATATAACAGTCTTGTCTTGTGTGTAATGTGTTCTTTTTCCTTCAACATACAATCATTAGTGATGATCTTTGCAGCTTTCTTAGGGTGAAAAAACACACAATGAATCGTGTTGAAAGATAGTGACTTTTAACTTCTGATATACTATAAACAAAAGAATTTGACGATATGCGTTTAGAAAGCCAAAATAACTAATAGATAAACATTCCTTTTCCTCATCTCTATAGGAGGAACGTAGCACTATGTTTATAGCTAAAACCAAAATAATCCTCCGTCTATTCCCCCCAAGAACATATACCCTTCTCATTATTTTCCTTATATCTTAATCAAATGTAATGTATATAGTCCAATTTAGTGAACTACTTATCCACAACAGCTCATTAGAGATGGTGTGCTAGTAGTTCAATAGATTGGACTATATACATTACACTTGACCAAGACATTTCTCCAACAAGAAAAAAGAACAACACAACCAACTATCAATAGGTTTCTTCTTAGATAAGATGGTTCCTGAATGCATGGAACATCTTTGGAGAAAGAAGCAGCAGGAAGGCTAGAACTGAACCGAAGAACATCTTCATAATGTAACTGAAAGCGTCTGATGACTCGCTATCTTCTGAGACACCCCCCGCACTTGGGTTCACCATTGCTTCTGCTGAAGGAAGTGATTCTATTACTGCATCAGCCAAGTCGGTGATGAAGGATGGTGTCAGTCCTAGGGCCGGGACACGCCCCCAGTTTTCTATCCCTGACTCCAAAGCTAGTTCCCTGTACTCCATGTCTATCTCTTCAAGAGTCTCAATGTGCTCACTCACAAAACTGAAATCCAAAGACAAGAAAACCAATCAATAACCAACAATGTTTTTGATGATGAGGACATGGGAAGTATCTTATATGTTCTCTTACCTTACTGGAACGGCTAGTAGACTCTTGACACCATTCTTACCAAGGTCGACAAGAACCTCATCAGTGTAAGGCTTCAGCCATTGAACAGGCCCAACACGACTCTGCAAAGATCAATTACAGGGCTTGAGATAAAGAGGTAATGGACAAGCAGCTTCTATAACTGACAACAATGACTAAACCTGGTATGCTAATATATGGTTGTTTTGAACTCCTCGGGACTTTAACTCTTCCATTATCAAGTCAATGCACTCTTCCATCTGTTTCTGGTATGGATCTCCAGAGTTCTCTACATAGCTAACTGGAACACCATGGGCACTGAAGAATACCATAACCTAAATCATACAGACAAAGACACCAATTAAACCATAGTTCCGAGTATAAATGTATTACATTAGAGGAGAATATAACTGTACCTCCTTAGGATCAGAGAAATTTTGAAGCTCCTTCTCAATGAGGTCAGCCATGGAATTGACATAGCCTCGCCTTTGGTACCAGGACTCTATAATAGCAACTGGCACTCTAGCCAGGTAGGGATCTTTCCTGAATAAGTCTTGGAGAACGCGGACGCTTGAGCCCGTTGTGGAAATAGAATACTGAGGGTATAATGGTAGCACAACAAGTCTTGTAATCTTGTCCTTCTTGATCTGGTTACAAACATAATTTAACTCGTTATGATACACATAACTCGCATTAAATCTAAGAGCAAAAGAAAATGTAAAATCACCTGCTGAACAGCCTCCTCAGTGAATGGAAACCAATACCGCATCCCAACATAGACATTAGCAGAAACATTCTTAGCTTGCAGTGCCATCTGAATAGCATCTGCTTGCTCATCAGTTATCTTACGCAAAGGAGAACCCCCACCAATAGCAGCATACCCTTCTTTCGACTTCGGAGCACGTACTACAGATATAAACTTGGCTATAGTCCCTTGCAGAAACTGAAACGGTCTAGGAAGCCGTATAATATCCTAAAACAAACAAACAAGCCATAGTTCATCAAAACCACCACTCCAAATTACTCTACAGTGTCCTAAAGAGAGAGCTAAGCATATAGATTCGCTCACCGGGTCAGCAAAGAGATTATACAAAAAGGGTTGCACATCATTAAGCGTTTCAGGACCACCTAGATTCAAAAGCAAGACACCGATCTTATCTTCAGCAACATTAGCACAAGTGTCATCGTAAGAGAGGTCTCCAGCAACAGGATGTGTTTGCTCGAACACGTTGGTCTTCAAACTCAATCCACGGTGTTGGGTGATCGCGAGAGAGCCGTTAGGTTTCAAAGGTGTCTCTTTTGAATGGAATCGAGGCAAAGACAGAGACTTTCTGTCGGAACATGACCTGTAACGAGACGAAATCGTCATCGCTGTACTAATTAAATCGAGGCAAGAAAAAAAAACAAAAAATTGAATTGAGGATGTTTTAACCTTGGAGATCTGTAAGCGTTAGGGTTTAGAAGAGGACGGAACCCAGATGATAACGCTGTCGCTTCCATACAGTTTCTAATCGATTAGAAAATTGCGAGAGAGAGAGAGATGGAATTGGATTGTGGGTTTAGGGTTTTGATTAGGCCTTTTTAAAAAGGTGAGATCTTTTATCAGTTTGGGGGAAGATGCGAAGAAGGTTGGTTAGGTGAATGCCAAAGATCAAGACTTTTCCATTGGAGCAGATAAACGTGTTCTTTAGTCAAAGTTTCTACGTTTCCCGTTTTTGGCCCCAGAAGTACAAAACAGTTATAACGACTGCGTTTTGGTAAACAAAGTGGTTGTTAGTCTTTCTTTCGCTTTTGAATAGCATCCAAACCGAACCGGTACATAACCGACATTTTTTTGATTTTTTGCATTCACACGTATAGTTTACTTGATCGAATTCTGTCTGTGGCGATTGTGTAAGCCATTGACTTTTCCTCTCTCGTTGATCGAATTCTGTCTGTGGTCACGACAATTGTCAATTACGTTGTTTCCGGTGATGCTCTTCCCTTCTACACATCTACAATGAAGTTTTCAGTGTTAACAATGGCCATTTTGGCATTTTTCCAAAAACACGTTCTTAGTGTTTTTTTATTTCTTCTTCTTCTAACCAAGGATCTGAGTGGTCTTGACTTTACAATGATGATTATTGATCCAAATCTGCATATTAAGGATTCTCGTTCGTTTCAAGCATCATCAACGACAAGTTGTACGCATGACCATTTGGTTTATAAATGGTTATTGGAATTCAAGTATGTTGTCGGCGTGGGGCAGTATTACGGCAGTCCCACTCTAACATCCTCCATCTCTGTGGTGGTAAAGTTCCACTGCGATGTCAGTTCAATAAGGTATTATCATTTCTCGACTACACGATTGTTTATTCATCGTCATAGATGGTGCCTTGGTCGGAGAATTTGGGATCCAGGAAAATTACAAGACTTGTTAAATAGTCTTCATGATGAGCTTGGAAGTAGAAGAAAAACTTCAGAGTTGGATGAAACAGTTTTTAGAATCTATATTTCGATACAATATATTTGGTATCGAAATATAGATAAATCTGAAGTATCGTTGAAACCATGGAAACCATCATGGAAAAAGCAACAATACAAGATGGAAGATGTATTTTCTTTGTTGTATGGCGATATTCTTACAATCGTTGAAGGTTGGGCTTTCCAGATTTTAAATTCTACGGTTGAATCAGTATATTGGATTTTATACCGAAGAATATCTATAGCTCTATTCATGGATGAAGTACTGGTGATGCGACGAAGTTTTAAAGCTCGCAAAAGTGTTAATAGAGTTTATACTCTGTTAATGATGCAGACCACGGAAGTATTGTTAGAATTTACATTAGTTTCTCCGTTGTTGTTTTCTCATTAAGTTATGTATTATTTGTATTTCTTTATGTTTACGATCTAATTAATAAATTTAAGTTGTTAAAAAAAAAAAAAGTTAACTTGGTTGTGGCGGTTGGGCTACGTGGCTGAATAACGGCCACTTGACTAAGTCAAAAAGTCAACAAAATTTGATACCGAGAGATGCTACGAATATAGATGACCAAGTTGTGAACCTTGCCAAAAATGGATCTAGAAGTAGAACATTCCGATTTGATGTCTTTCACACAAATCATCGTCAAAGTTCACAAAGGTTAGTAAGCTTTGACCAAAAAAAAAAAAAAAGTTTAGTAAGCCAAACGGGTGTTCTCTTCGTATAAGTTGATCATATTATTCATATAAACTCAAAATTCCTTGACAGGGTGATTGTTGTAGAGTGGTAAGAAAACAAAGCTGGAGCACCAACAAATTTTAGCTTCGATCCAATTGCTTTTTGAAATTAAATCACAATTATTCCTAATTATTTCCATAGGTCTGGAATATCCTTTAGATTAATCAAAAAAAAAAACTCAAAGTTCCTTAATAATTCATATGTGTTATAAGGTGTTCTTTTTCATATGAAACAATGATATATCATCAACAAGCAATCACAAGAGCAACAACATCAAAATGCAGGATCATAACATCTGGTTTGGCAAACATTACATGTCATCGCAAAAAGAAAAAACATTACATGTTACTGGGAATTTACGGTCACGTGAAATTTAATGTGGTATACAATGTAGCATATATGGAGTGGAAGAGGAATTAATTAATTATTTTATATTTGAATATTCACCAGTAATCTAAATGTCAAAGAATTTTTTTAACATTGGAATTGGCTTCCATATGGAAGGACATGCCTTCATTTCCAATACAAATTAATTGTAAGATACAAATAGTTCTTCCTTAATTTCACAATCAAACATATTCGCAGAGAAAACAACACAATAACTGATAAGCTTATATGAGATGATCGGAGTCTACCTTCTGTTATGGACTATGTTGATTTGCTTTTACCGCATTGGTTTGGTCAACCTGTGTCTAGTTTGTCATATAGTAGATATATAATATTGTTGGCAAAACAAAAATAGTGATGTATTATAAGGTGTTTAATTAAGTATCTTAATTATCAAAATATTCGGTAGCACACACATCAAGCATGTTCTTATAAAGGGTATGATATCCATGACCATAAGTAGAATGCCATGTTAAACGGCATAGTTTGCCCTTTCAAGCAAGACTCGGGCAACATGATTGTATATGCAATATTATATACAAAGTCAACGTAAATACATCTATCTATAATTGATTTCATTGAAGTTTAGAACTCAACTTGGTGCCACGCAGACAGTGATAATGCTATCTTTTGGAACTCAATATACTATATAATACGGGTATTAAATTGCCGTCAGAAAACACTATCAATAAAATAATACAGTATCAATCTTTAATAGCTAAGCTCCAGCTTCAAGAATAGGCTTTTCATATAAGTTCTGAACGGGTCGTTAATCCAGCTTACCAAAAAGAATAGTTTTCAGATATATTTTCTTCTTCCAAGTAAGTTTGTGTGCAACTTTGGTGAAAGTATGGGTCAATGCTTCTCGTTGCCTTCTTCCTCATCGGAGATTCACGAGGAAAATGAATACGATGGAAATGCGGTGGTGTGTTATGGCGATGAGTTCGGTTTAGATCACCACCGTCCGCTTCACCGACCAGGTTCTATCTGCTCTATTCAAGGAACCAAAGCGCTTAACCAAGATAATGCTATTCTTTATCTGGTAGTTCATCTTGATATTTTTTGCTATTTTCTTGTTTCGTCTTTCCTTCTCTTTTTATAAATCATTATCTAGATGACCACCAACAACGTTTTGGGGGTAGATGATGAACCAATATTCATTCTTAAGTAAAAAGTAATTTTTGGATGCCTAATTGGTTGTGGTTTATGGGTTGTAATAAATATATACCATGTACGATTGCATTTCATAGCAATAAGCAAGATCTATGATCTGCCTTGACTATTTCAAGATCGTAACAAATTTATGTGTTTGTATTTACATGCGAGAATACTCGTAAAATTTACTTTCATTTTCATTAAAAATCAAATATAAACAAATTTTGTTTTGTAAAGAGTTTGTTTGCCTTTAGATTTTTGTAAAAACTGTTTAAGATGCTGATAGTTAGTTATAAACACGCTAAACATAAAATAAGAAAGGTAAACGCAAACGAAAACAAACAAATCGAAACCTAGATTAAATTATCTTTTATATGTTTCAAATGTTTATATCGAGTTAAGTGGAATAAATTGTGTATAAACTAATTGGTTAATTCTGTAGGGATATGGAACAGGAGACGCAGAGCTATGCGCAGTGTTTGATGGGCACGGCAAAAATGGGCATTTGGTGAGCAAAATGGCGAGGAATAGGTTACCATTACTCCTGTTAACAATAAAGAAGGAGCTAAACGAAGAACCTCAGGTTTGTGACGAAGATGAAGCTAGTAAGTGGGAGCAAGCTTGTTTTAATGCATTCAGACTCATTGACAGAGAGCTTCTACTCCAAGTCTTTAATTGCTCTTTCAGTGGCTCCACGGCTGTTGTTGCTATTACTCAGGTAAATTCATTCTCTTTATTTCCTCTACCACTAAAGGTTTTTTGAGTGGTAGCAATGGAATAGAGCACTCTATTGGACGAGCTAGTAGTAGTTGTTCTTCATCAGTTATATATGTTGCTAGTTTTATTTTTATCTTTGTCTTTTTATGCAACACTAGGACCAAAACATATGAAATTGTGTATAAATAGCGATTTTGACCACACTTTCTAAAGCCTAGTTATTTGACTAGCTCGAGCTCATTTCTTTTCTTCAGGGAGATGACCTCATGATAGCTAACCTTGGTGATTCAAGGGCAGTGTTGGGGACAATGACCGAAGATGGTGAGATCTGCGCAGTTCAGCTAACATCGGACCTAACACCTGATGTCCCTAGTATGCTACTTTCTCCTTGCCTAATGATCGGTTGTATCATTAGAGGGTTAATGATACTTATTTAGTGAGTTCTTGCGTCGTAGGTGAAGCAGAGAGGATTAGGGCGTGCAAAGGTCGCGTTCACGCAATGAAAGCAGAACCGTCCAGCCAAAGGGTGTGGCTACCAAACCAAGACATACCAGGATTAGCCATGTCAAGAGCTTTTGGAGATTTCAGGCTCAAAGACCATGGTGTTATTGCGGTTCCAGAAATTACTCACCACCAAATAACTTCTAAAGACCGATTCCTTGTTCTCGCTTCAGACGGGGTAAAAGCCCATAAGATTCAAAGTTTATTTATTATACATTTTATCCCTTCAAAAATTTTGATTAAAAATCCTTTGTATTTATTATTGTCGTCAAAGGTTTGGGATATGCTTAGCAATGATGAAGTTGTATCACTAATATGGAGTTCCGGCAAAACCCAAGATATGGCCGCTAAAATGGTGGCAGAGGCGGCCGAAGCTGCTTGGAAGAAGAAGCTTAAATCTAAGAAGATTGATGATATTACAGTAATATGTCTTTTCTTACAGAACAAGGAACGACCAAGTTGCACTTCGGACACGTGAATCATAAGATACTACAGTATGATGGTCGAGGTACATTCATCGCACATGCTACCAAGCGCAAACCGAAGAAAATTCTAATATAAACTCATAATGTATATGTTACCTAAATGGAAACTATTTTTGGCCGGTTCAATTATATCGAAGGCCTAAAGCAGATAAAATTTCAATGTGTTATTTTTCTTCAGAAAAAAAAGAGACAACTATTGTAATTCATTTTTAAATATTTAATCATGAAAATATAACTACTCAAAA